TTATTAAATAATAATTTTACATATGATAAACAATTAAATGAATATACACCATTATTTTGGCAACCAGATAAAAAAGGTGTTTATGCACCAAGACCAGGAAAATATACTCCTGAACGTTTAACTGCTTATCGAAATGTTGGAAGGTAAACAAAACAATAATATTTTTTTAATTCTTTTTTCTTTTGTTTCTAATTTTAGATTAATTGGTTTATGTTTATTACAAAATGAATTATTTCCATTACCATTATGTCGTCATGTAATAAAATATATTTTAAATCGATCAATACGTTGGCATGATTTAGCTTTTTTTGATTCAATGATGTATGAAAATTTACGTCGAACTGCATATGATGCAGAAAAAAATGGATCACAATATATTAATGATTTACATTTAACATTTTCAATGACTGTTACAGAAAAAGAGGTTAGATTTTTATTAGAATAATTATTGAAGTTAAACAAAAATAATATTTAAATTCTTGTATTAATATTTAATTTTCAAGTAAACTCAATTTTTGTAGCAAACGGTCATAACTTGACTGTAGAGACGGATGGACACGAGCTCTTTTAGAATTTTGTCTAGTCTTACCAAGACCTCCGTGTAAATTAATATGAACTCATATAGCGGATATAGCGTAGTGCAAAGTTTCAAGTCGCAATTCAAAAATGAATTTTTTCAAGGACGACTACATCATGGGTTTAAAAAATACGGTATCTCCCGTAGCAATAAGCTAATATTCCGAACTCATTTCAGACTATTCATAGTTCATTAGGGTCTACATAATGTGCATAGTTTCGACTCAAAAATCAATGAGAAAAGTTTTTCTTGTTAGTTGAATGATAATAATACATAGGTGGAGGAACCTGTCGGTTAGATAAGTAACCTAGATTTAATTTTTATAGGTGATAGTTTACACCAATCGAAAATGTCCTAGTATCCTTCCTTCTTTATTAGAATAAAATTTCGTATACTATCTTGATATTATAATAGTTGAATTATTAAGTCAACAAAAAGGACTTCAAATAATCTTTCATTAGAAATTTATTGTATTGAAAATTTTAATCAATTCTAGTACAAAAAAAATTCACAAAATTTTTTTTTGTTTTTTTTCTATTATAGGGAGGTGAAACTTATGATCTAATACCTAATGGTTCATTAAAAGATGTAACATATTCTAATCTATATGAATTTATTAAACGTTATGCTGAATTTCGAATGATTCATCTTGTTGAACAATCTCTTCGGGTAACAATATAAAACATATAATAAAAAAAAACAAAAATTAATCTTTATTTTTTATTTAAAGCATTTACGTTTGGGTGTATTTGATGTTCTACCATCAACATCACTTGATTATTTAAGTCCTGAAGATTTTCGTTTACTTCTTAATGGTACAACTAATATAAATATAACAACTTTAATGACATATACAACATTTAATGATGAAAGTGGTATGTACATACAAAAACAAATAATAATAATTTCTATAATCTATTTTATGTTTTGTTTTAGGTGAAATAAATGAACGTATAAATCAATTTAAAAAATGGTTTTGGTCTGTTTTAGAAAAATTTAATCCTATTGAAAGACAAGATTTAGTAAGATACAAAAGAATTTTCTAATCAAATTTTATTTTTTTTTTTAAAACAATAGGTTTATTTTTGGACGGGTAGTCCTACATTACCAGCATCAGAAGGTGGATTTCAACCTCAACCATCTGTTACCATTCGACCAGCTGATGATCAACATTTACCAACAGCAAATACATGTATTAGTCGGTTATATGTTCCATTATATTCATCAAAGACAATCTTAAAATTAAAATTACAGTATGCTATTAAAACGAAAATATTCGGTTTTGTGTAAAAAAAAAAAAAATAAATAAATGTTTGACAGTATATATATATATATTTTTTTTTTGTCTTTTTTCCTCTGTATATGCGCTTATGTGTCTTGTTTATATTTATTACCGTATGTGTGTTGTAAAAAAAAAGAAAATAATGAACATACATACTTATTATGTTATTTCTTCTTTTTTTCTTTCTTATATATGTGGTTATGACATTTGAAAGATGAAATTTGTTTCGATTTATAGATATGTCAGGTTTAGATAATGTTAAACGAGTTATTGCGGTTTTATCAGGCAAAGGAGGAGTTGGTTAGTATTTGAAATTTATTTATTTTTTTTGAATAAAATAATTGTGCATATTTTTTTTTTGTTTTTAATTCTAGGTAAATCAACTGTAGCTACACAACTTGCTTTATCACTTTATTCACGTAATCTTCGAGTTGGTTTACTTGATGTTGATTTATGTGGACCGTCCATTCCGAGAATGTTTGGTGTTGATAAAAATTCAAAATCGAATGTTGTTTATGAAACAACAGAAGGTATTATAAAAAGTTTGTCAGTACAATCTATTTGAAATTGTTTTTCGAAATAAAGATATACAGTTAAGTTATTTTTATTATCTTATTGACAAAAAAGTATAAAGTTCTGTTTTCTTTTTTTGCACTTAAGTGTAAATATAATTGATCATATAACGATTATAACAAGTTCAATATATTCGTTGACATATTCAACAGAAATTTTTAGTCTGTTTAAAGCTCAGAAAAGTATATTAGAACAATCACTTTCTGAATTACAGATCATCAATCATGTTGAGTCTGAATATAGCCATGAGTGGGGATGCACCAGTCCCAGTCCTGACTGGTGAACTGGGTTCCAGTTCGACTGGGTATCCGGTCCAACTGGGCACCCAGTCACGACTGGGTACTGAGTCCTTCGATCTTTAGTCCATTAGTCGAGTAGTACTTTCTTCATTTTTAGTATATTGTCATACAGTAATTCTTAGGCTGTTGAAGTACTGATATAAACTATAACACTGAATCCATTGGCTAATCATATATATCTATATATCAATCGTTATAATTTAGAATACTATAAATAAATTTCATGTCTTCAGGGTGTGGGTGTGGCTAGGGTGTAGGTGTGGGTGTTGTTTGGATGGATGTTATTTGGATGTGGGAATGGTTAGAATGACAATAACGACACCCATACCAACATCAAACCCACACCCTTAGAAAAGAGGGAAGTACTGATTGACTAGCGGAATAAACGTCAAATGACTAAGTACCCAGTTACTGGCACTGGCGCACCCCTAAATCATGGGCCATGAGAAATTTCCTTATATTTTCATATGCTGATTTTCTAGACTATCGTTGTTTTCGCAGGAAGTACAGTCATTTTAATTCATACAATAGATAGATGTTTAAATCTTCAAGATAGTATGATTTTGCTTTAAAACTCATTTTTACAAAACACAATAGATTATTGACTTATAAACAACTCGATATGCTCTATAATCTGACGAAGAAATGTTCCCAAGTGATCCACATCGTTTTCAATGATATTTTGTGTATATGTCGAGGACTAAGAAAAGTGTGTCCATGGACCTTCTTTCGAAGGTTATGACCATTTTTCTGCCTAGTACAAGGTATATAGGGAAAAATTGAAGGAATCTAAAATTTTGGTCATATGTAGCTCTTGTGATCATTAGAACATTCGAAAAGTTTTAGTGGAAAAAAATATTTCCTTTTAGAGATATTCAATTTTTAATAAAGTCAATCTTTCAGGATTCTATAATTTGTAAGACAAGTTTTTAAAAAGTTCTGTTCTTCAATTTTTTCCTATATACCTTATACTAGATGGAAAAATGGTCATAGCCTATGAAGGAAGGTCTATGAACACATTTTTCTTAAAATACTCTCCCCGATATATGAACAAAATATTATTGAAAACGGCGTGGATCAGTTAAGGTCATGAGTAAATCCAAAAGTATTTTAGAGAAATGTTTACTAGTCTAGAAAATCAGCATAGTCAATAACTTATCACCAGATAGCTTTTGTTGAGAAAGCGATTGATCAGTTGAAAACGTTTCCTTGTAAATCATGTCAGTAAAGTCATTCCCTAGTCGACTCTCCCCAACGCAATCACCGGAGAGTTCCCTGAAAAATGCGAAATCTCTGTTATGAGTCCCCGGAGAAGTTGCATATCTCAGGATCCCCTATAAAATTTGCATAAATTTGAATTTTTCAGAGAATTTCAATGGTGGCTTCTGGATTAACTCCTCCATGGATTCACGACAGGAATTCTTCTAGGGAGTTTCAACTAGGGTTCAGTACCTTTTTTTCCGTTGCTAAAGAAGTCTGACGTCTGTTGTCCTCGGCCGCTATGAAAACGTAACCAATGATTTGTGATATTGAAAGTGGCAAAATCTCGAGTTAATATATTTTTCTTCGGAAAATGTTTCTAATTATCTTTAAATTAGGTATGACACCAATTGATATCTTTTCATCATCAAATGATACTTCAAGATTTAAATTAATGTCAATGGCATTATTATTAGATAATTCAAATGATGCAATTATTTGGCGTGGACCAAGAAAAACTGCAATGATTCAACGTTTATTAATAGGTGTTAACTGGGGTGAACTTGATTATCTTATTATTGATACACCACCAGGTACATCCGATGAACATATAGCAGTTATGACTATACTTAAACAACAAATACATGCAAAAGATTTTTTACGTGCAATTCTTGTAACAACACCACAAATGTTATCAATAAATGATGTACGACGTGAAATAACATTTTGTCAAAAAACTTCATTTCAAATAATTGGTTTAATTGAAAATATGAGTGGTTATGTATGTCCATATTGTAGTGAATGTACAAATATATTTGCACAAGGTGGTGGAATTTTATTAGCTGAACAATATTCGATACCATTTTTAGGTAGATTACCTATTGATAATAAATTAAATGTAATACTTGATCAAGGTATTCAACAAGTTGAACATGGTTTAGAAACTATATTAGAAACTGAAACAATAAAATTATTTAAAAATATACTTGATCATATACTTAATCATTGGGAATAAATTTTATTTTTTTGAATTTCCTTTTTTTTTTTGTTTTTTTGTAGATTAGAAATAATGTCAAACGATTATTATTTAACATATCGAATTATTGATACATTAAGTAAGGAAAAGATTTTATAGATTAAGAATTTCGAATTGTTTTTTTTTTTTTTTAGAATATTCGAATTCAAATATTGATGAATGTCAAGGTTCTCTAGCTTATTTAGTATATGATAATAAAGATAAAAATAAAACAAAATATGCTTTAAAAATAGTAGATCTAGAAAAAATGACGAATCTTAGTGAATTTATTGTATGTAGTAAAAGAAAACAAAACAAAGATATTGAATTTCTTTTTTTTTTTTGTAGCAAGATATATTATGGTATAAACAATTAAATCATTATAATTTAATGTCACTTCGAGATTGTTTTCTTATTGATACAAAACTTCATCTTGTGAAACCATATGCTTCGTTTGGTATGTTATTAAATAAATTTATTAAGAATATTTAATGTTTAACATATTGAATTTTTGTAATTGATTATTCAGATTTTAAAACGAATCATTTTATCAATATAGATTCTATCTAGATGATTAACCCTTTACATTCCATTGGGAATTGGAATTGCCATTTTGTAGAATGATTGTAGAAAATAAAGAAAGCATGGAATTTGAAAACGATAAGAGCATTTTTTATAGTGAACTTTATGAACTATCAATTAGTAAAAAGAATAATTTTTTTCATCACTCCATCTTGGAAATATTGGGCCAACAAAAATCAATAATTTTGTAAAAAATGAAAAATAATCAAATTTTTCGAAACAAATCATTCTCTACTTACACTAAATAAAGATCTTTCGGAATTTTCATGTGATATAAATTGATGAAAGTATCTATTAGTAAGTTAGATATGTTCCGAATACATCACAATAAGTTGGCCAATTGCACATAAGTGACCAAGAAACCATTATGAGGCATCTTTGGGGCATTTAAGAGAAATGGTAATATATGTATTATAAACCTCACCTCATGAGAAGGTAGAATAGTATTTATTTTGAATTACCTTCAAAAGTTATTAAACCGCTAAAAGCAAGGTAGATGCTTATTTAAGAAAATGTGCTAAAAGTATATGCATTTTTCGACGTTAATTTTTATCGGTTTATTCCCTCTGTTTTTCATTATTCCAATAGGATAGGAGAAATGTTACTTTTGCTCATTCAATAATGTGATCAGAGAAAAACAAATCAACGCTTAATATGTCGTTTCATCCGCTCACTCCATCACACGGTTAATCGACCAATTAAGGGCTCACCCCCCCCCCCCCTCAAAAAATGTCAAATTTCGTCAGAAAAACGAAATCTGAGAGAAAGGCATAGCTGAATACTATGAGGCCTGAACATTAAGAATCAGCATAATTTTGAGGAAAAGAGGATTTTGTAGGAAAAAGTCTTTTTCCCATCAAAAAACTTTTTTGCGTTTTTCTCAAAATGGTTGTTGCACGACGCATCTCCAGCGAAAGTCAACTACAATACGATATAAAGTCGAATGTTTTTTTTTTGTTTGAAAGAGAATCAAAAACTGCAGTGCCTATGAGAGCCCTTTTTTTCAAAATAGGCTTTGCTTTTATTATATTGAAAAGCGCCTTCTTAATTAGAGCGCCATTTTTTGAGAGTTTTTTAGTAACCGAGCTTGTCAGAGTACTTTCCCCTTAAAAGATAAGATTAAAAAAAAAGGCCCTCATAGGCACTGCATCCGGACATGCTCTTTCAAACAAAAAGAAAAATCAAGTATATATATTGAAGAGCCACTGAGAACTTTTGGAGATGCGATAAGCCATATTTTGACTCTTATTCGGTCTGTATCTCCATTATACGTCATGATAGAAGGCTGAAACTTTTATCACATGCATCCTATCAAAGGCTCAACATATCCTCCAAATATCAGCCTGTTTGGATGTTCCTGGACTGAGATCAATTTTTGAGGGGGGAGGGGGCCTTAAATGGTCCTACACAAAGAGGTAGACATTCGGTGAATACGGCCACATAATTGTCATACTAGGCATGCTAGTACTCTATTCGTATAGTTATATTATAGGTGGCTCTTCTGAAACTGCTGTGGGGACAAAGGGTTAAAAGTTGAGATGTTAGATGGAGAAATATCTTTTGAAGTTTGTCAACAATCATAGGATCGATTGAATAATATCGAGAGTTTATATATGTATTTTATCTCTATAGTTAATTATCAAAAACTTTGAACTTTTTCTTTTTAATAATTATAAATAATCTAAAAATTCAATTTTAAATTCATATTCTTGATCAATATGAAAGAATATTGTATTTTTATTTAATCTAGGCTCTTGTGCTGATCTATTACGTGCTCATCCTTTTGGTATACGTGAACCATTAATTGCTCATATTATGTGGCAATTATTACAAGCTCTTCGTTATTTACAAGATAGACATATTGTACATCGGTAAGTCTACATTAATATTCGATAAATAATTAAAAAAGAAAAAAAAAACAATTTTTAATATTCTAGTGCTATTACTTCAAAACATATTTATATTTGTGATGATGGACATGTTTTATTAGATAATTTTTCTCATTGTGTATCCATGATATCACCATTTGATGGAAAATTAAGACGTCATATATATGATTATACAGATGATCTTAAAGATGAAATATTATATTTAGCACCAGAAATTATTTATCAAGTTAGTTGAATTTTTATTTTATAATTCAAATATAAAATAAATTTCTATTTAGAATGCAGATGGATATAATTTTAAAAGTGATGTTTATAGTTTGGGTACTGTTGCATGTGAACTTGCTAATGGTAGTAATACTTATATTGATATGCCTTTTGGAAATTTAAGTGTAAGTATAAATAATAGAACTTAATTATTCTTCTATCACTAGTAATGCAAGCAAATATATGTTAGAGTAAAGATGTACGGAATCAAGTCTTTGCAGTTTCGGTCGTAGATAGGAATGTATAGTTGATTCATACTGACACCAATGTTTGCTGAAGCACCGAAACAGATTGCTACCAAAAAGGATAGTGTCTCTATGTTGCAGCGAACGCGAATACCAGTGTCTCAGTGGTAGGAAGTTGCGGACTCTTCCAGATCCGGATGTGAACCTACCCATTGGATGCTGCGTTGATGACTTACTGTCAGTATTTACACTAACACTGTACATCCCTAGTCATAGCTCTATTGAATCTCATGTGCTTTTGTGACAGGAGCTAAAACTTGTCCCGTACATCTTTACATCAGAAACAGGTCTTTTTTTTGTTTTAGATGTTATATGCTAAAATGCAAGGTTCAGAACCCATTTTACTTGATCAAACTCAATTAACAGATGAAAGTATGTTCTCGAATTACTTAATTTTTATTATAGACTTATGCATATATATTTTTTTTTTGTGTAAATTTTCTATAGTGATTGCTCTTAGTGATGATAATTCTAGTTTATATGTTGAAGAATTAAAAAAACGACGATATACAAAAGAATTTCATTCATTTGTTAAATGTTGTGTAGCTACACAACTTGAATCAAGGTAAAAATAAAATTTCATTTAATCCTTACGTAAAAGATTTTTGACCGTCTATATTAATCATTAGAGAAAATGAAAATTTTATATTCGTTTCATTTATACATATTCAAAAATTTTCTCTGATTTATAATTGATTCATTGTAAGCAAATATCTTTTAACAAATCAAAAATAGTTTTCTGTCAGTTCTTTGAATGATATTTTCAGGTAGTTTTGACGTTCTGTTATTATAGAGAATTTTATTTTTCTAATAAACTATGCACATTTTTCGAATAGTTCTCGAAACGGACCGCCCGCCTCGGCCGAGCCTAAACAATGTTCGAACCACTTGGGTCGGGATATAAACAAGTGGCCTGATAGTTACTCTTTATGTTACACAGCATTTAAATTTAATCTTCTGTAGTAATTGGCAAAAAGTCAAATGAGTTGAGCATGTTGTAAAGCAAAATTTGGTCTGCAAAATAGAGTATAAAAAGATTTTTTTATGGTTTGGATTAAGGTAGAATATGCTAAACCTCTTTCCACAATAGAAAATCCGAAGTCTTCTATTGTTTTAGTATTTTAGCTCGAAATCCTGAAAATTAGACATATTTTGATGTAAATATACTAATTAAAGTTCGAATTTTTCGAGAAATTTATTAAATAAAGAGAGTCTTTAATAATTTCCGACGTATCATTTCTCCGAGTGTTAACCCTTTACCCCCCGTTGGTCACTGGAGTGACCATTTGTAGAATGATTGCAGAAACTAAAGGAAGCATTGGATTCAAAAACGATAAGAACCTTTTTTGTATCAAACTTCATGAACTATCGATTGGTAAAAAGATCATTTCTCTTCATTGCTTCGTTACTGAAATATCGGGTCTACAAAATCTATAATTTTGAAAAAATGAAAAAAAATCGAAAATTTAGAAACAAAATTTTTTCTACTCGTAGCCAAGAGAGATTTTTTGGAATTGCTGTGTGATATTAATTGATGAAGAAGTCCTCTGGCGAATTAAATATGTTTCCAAAGTTTCATAAGAACTTCACGAATTACACATACAAAGGGATACAATTGATCATGTAGCCACTATCTCGTAGATGGAGGGTAATCAAGAAGGGAGTTAATACATGTATTATAAAGCTCAACTCATGACAAGCCGAAACCGTATGTATAATGAATTACATTTCTTCAGAGGTTATGAAACGGCTGGAAGCAAACTAGGCTACAACTTGACAACACATGTAAAAAAATATGTGTATACTTTGGTTTTAAATTTTTCACTTCACTCCTTGCCTTTTTTTCGTCACT